GCTCTGCTCTTTATTAAACACTTCCCTGTTTTGAAAATGAAAAAGCCACGAATAAACAGGGCAGGATGAACTGGGAAACACACACACAGTCCTCTGTTAGTATAAGTTGCCTTGTGACACAAGAAGGGGACATTCAATGAAATGGACAGTAAGTACATTTAAAATTATAAAAAGAAACACAGTCGCACATTATAAGAAGGTTTGTAAATAGTTTATTAAGAGTTATTACATGACTAATAGATGTTTTAATAAATGGTTAATCGATTATCATCAGCAGGTCAATAGATCAGTAACACGCTTATAATATCTATGAATCATTTACAAACTATTTATAACATACCCTTAATATAAAGTGTGATTGGAAATGCTTTTTCTGCACAACACACAATTAACCGTGGAACTCATTGTAACAAGATATACTTGAGGCTGAGAGTTTAGTAGGATTCAGAAAAGGACAGGACATTTATGTGAATAACAAGAACACGTGGAGTCACAATACACAATAACAACAACTTGGGATCTAAAACCTCCTGCTTCAGGGCATAAACCAACCTCTAAGTAATGCAGTCAGGAAGCAATTTTCCTTATGGGCATGCTACCCCATAACTTCAGAGTTTCTTATACCTCCCTCTGAAGCACCTGCTACTGGCCACCATCAGAGACAGGATACAGAGCTGGAGGGACTTGATCTGGTGTGGCAGTACCTGTGTTCCTATCTTCTCAAGCATCTCTTCCACAATGGCCTCTCAGGTTCTTTCCCAGCAGCCATCATGCACACTGGCCTGAAAAGTATTTAATTAATAAATTAATCCATTGTTAATGTGACTATTGAACAGTGTTTCACTGAATGTGGTGCTTGGGGGAGTTAACAGACTGACACATGTGGCGGAGGACAGTCTGGATTGTAGCAATGCAAGCTCTTCTCACCCAGTCTCAGCTCTCAGAGAACTGGACCTCTTTTAGGGATGACAGAGAAGTTCAGTGTCTACGGTTCATTCAGTCCTTGGCGTATCTGTTGAGAATGCCAACAAAGCTAGCTAGGAGTAACTGGCATCTAGCTAGCTAGCTGGCTAACTAACTGAGACAGTTGCTTTTGTGATGTGGGCCCCCTGAATGCCTGGGAAACAGACCTAGGAAAATCTGCTCATTTTTGGTTAGCTAGAACCGGGTCAGCCGTTTCCCTGTTTGTTGCATGGTACGTTTTGCCCCCTTCACCCTCTCCAGACGTGCCCTTCCCCTCTGTGTTCATTGGCAGGAATGGTGACATTTCACCTTGGATCAAATTTGCATATTCTTTGCCCAGATTTGTTCATTCATGAAAATCCCCAAGGTGAAATTTTTGTCTATGCTTTTGCGGGGCAAAGATGGAATGTGTGAGTTTCCTGGAAGACGGAAGGTCAAAGAAATCATGATGTGGCCAAATCTTTGTTTTCCCTCCCAACCTTTGTCTACCTGGATGTAAGCTGTTAGGAGCAGAGACTGGCTTGTACTGTGTGTTTGTACAGTGCCTACCACAGGGAGTCAACTTTTCGTTGGGGCGGCCGGGTGTTGCTTTAATGCAACTAATAATGATAATAGTATTAATAGTGTTTGCAAATGCGGCCCGTCATCTGTCTGGTAACATTTAGGCCCAGCATTGCCCATGTCCCCAAGTAGCAGGGATTCTTTTTCCCCCCACTAAAACTTCTGCAGTGCCCAGCAAAAATCTGTGCTTGGAATTTGGGTGACAGGACCCTGGCTTTTATTTCCCCCCAGGCCCTGTGGCAGCTGTTCTGTACGGAGCGCAGCCTCTTGCATGCCACTTTGATTTCTGCAAATCTGTTCACTTCTCGGGGGGGATCCAGTTGATACAAATCACTTCTCTCCTGACCTGAGTAATGATCGTATTCACGATGACAGTGTGGGTCTCCTTCCATTTCACAAAGCAACAGAAACAGAGGGTCATGGGTGGGGACAGGGAATCAGGCAACACTCTCCAGAAGCAGAAAGAGAACAAGAAAACCAGGAGCACTTCACAGGGCCGGCCCGGGGGGGGGGGGGGAGGGGGAGGGCG